CTCTGTCTCTCTCTGTCCCAAAAATAAATAAACGTTGAAAAAAAAAAGATTAAATAATAAGAGTTAACAGTAATGATTATATTACAGGTGGCAGCTGGGTGAGTGGCACGGTCCCCAAGCGCTTCCACGGTAAGGCAGTGCAAATCACTTCCTGCTGACATATTAACCAGGAACAACAAGTTGCCTGCAGACAATAGAATCACATGATCCCATGGAAGCCCCGATTGTTGAGTTCAAGCCCCAGGTTGAGTGTAGAGATTACTTAAAAAATAAAATACAGGGGCGCCTGGGTGGCGCAGTCGGTTGGGCGTCCGACTTCAGCCAGGTCACGATCTCGCGGTCCGGGAGTTCGAGCCCCGCATGGGGCTCTGGGCTGATGGCTCAGAGCCTGGAGCCTGTTTCCGATTCTGTGTCTCCCTCTCTCTCTGCCCCTCCCCCGTTCATGCTCTGTCTCTCTCTGTCCCAAAAATAAATAAACGTTGAAAAAAAATTTTTTTAAAAAAGCAAAGTTCATTTGCTCTTCTTACTGTTTATAGACAAGAAGCCTCTGGCCTGTGTCCCAGCAAGGAAGCTATCAGGACATTTGTCTGAGTCTTTTTGAGTTTCTAAAATTTGACCCACCATTTTGGTTCAATTATTGCTTGCCTTTTTTTTAACCTATGGGGACAACAATCTCCTAGTGTTTGTCTAGTGCCTACTGGATTTGCCACTCCCTAGGTGCTGTGATGGGGGGGCGGTTAGAAAAGATTAAGACCCATCCCCTGCTGTCAAAGATGTGAGTGTGGGGGACAGGACTAACAATGAGAAAACAATGGGAGGCAGTATGTGATTCAGGATAAAATGAGTAGTGCAGGCAATAACTGCTATAGCAGTTCAGAGGAGGGAGAAAGCTCTGGGAGCTGGGGGAAAAAGCAATATCACATGCGATCTGAAGGCTGGGTAGGATTGTTTATGCAGGTGTGGGGGAGGGCACTAAATTTCAGGGTGTATGCCCGTATGTACGCAAGCACACACAGATGCAGAACTGGGTAACAATAACGGGTAGCATTTACTGAGCATTTATGTCTATGCACCAGATACAGCATAATGTCGTATATAATTCAACGCATTTCCAAGTGCGTAATCCTAGGAATTAGATGATAGTTAATTCAATTAATGGAAGTTGAGGCACAGAGAGGTTGCATCGATTGCCCAAAGGGACACAGCAAGTAAATGGGATTACAGGCCTGGGCCAAAAACACTTGGCCCTCCTACCTATAAAAAAGAGGAATTTGTGACTCAGATGAGGAAGTTAGCCGGACTGTAGTCACTAAAGACTGTCGTTTTGCAAACACAGGACCCTGTAGGCCAAACTGCCAACTGAAGTTCAGCAGGAAAATTGGAGGGATTAATGAAGCCATTTACTGAATTCTATAATCTCATTCTTACTTCCTGGAAGCGAGGAATTTGAGGTCTCCAGATGCTGCAGGTCATTGCCGGGAGCACCACAACTTTACCCTTCTTGTTTCTTGGTTATGTTGCAGAGGATTTAGCAAAACACCTAAGGAGAATGAATGAGCTGTTCTTTATTAATTAGCACTTGAAAAGCATTGGGCCTCTGGTGGATGCCATACAGAGCTTCGAATTAGATAAAGCCACCTGGCCCTGAAGCTCTATTTGTGGGGAAAACCAGGCTTGGAAAGGATAGGAGGACCATGGCCTGATAATACAGTAGATTGTATTTTATGTTTTGAGTCTGGCTTGCCGCCAACACCCGAAAGTGTTTCCTAGGCAAAGTGCCTGACTGTGTTTTTCTGGATATTCTCCTAACTCACTGTGAGTCTTCAATAAATGTTAAATCACTGTGAGGTAGATTCTGAGGTCCCTTTCCTGTTTCCTTGTCCCAAGAGACTCAAACCACAGACGGGGGGTAGAGGCAGCGAAGAAGAGGGGACCTTGCTCCAATCAGCCGCTCTTTTCCCATTCTTGGGCCCCTCCACACCCCCACTGTCCTGGCTGGCCTGCAGGGGCACTTCCCTCAGCCCCGCGAATGCGGGTTGGAAAGCAGCTGGTCCGCTATAGGGACAGGGGAGGGGAAACGGTTGGGGGAGGCATCTTTTCCTGCAGCAAGTCTAAGGTGTAGGGCAGGGCGGGAGAAAAAGGGAGGAGGGCCAGGGGAGGGAGTGGCCGTGGCCTGGGGTAAAGGGAGAAAAATACTCGAGCAGAGCAAGGAAAAGAAGGAAAAGAGGCCTCCATCGTCAGGCACTGAAACCGCGAGTGGGACTGGGGCGACAAAGGCAAGGGAAGAGGACATCCTGGTCCCGCAGGAGTCTCCTTTCAGGGCAGAAAGGAGGAGACGCGCCCAGAAGGTCACAGCCATGCAAACACCCCGAAGGAAAGCTGGCACAGCGGCTCAGCATTAGCCAGGCTTCTTCATTCCCCATGAGCTTGGTGAGGGCCCGCTGAGCTCCTACTATGTGCTCGGTGGACACAGACGCGCCCGGGGCAACGGGATCGCGGGAGCCGGAGTCGGCCAAAACGGCTTCCCTGAGGGGGCGGACTGTGTAGACGGGCGGTGAAGGAAGGTGGATGTGCACGCGTGCAGGCTCGAGGAGTGCAGAACGCGAGGCAGGCCGGGGGAGGGGGGGAAGGAGGCGGGGACTGAGGCCGGAGGAGGGGGGAGGGGGGGGAGGGAGGG